TGATTAGACACTGATATGGACCAATTTACTCCACTTGTGTTAGTTGACCAAACAACCCTTATCCGAACAAATAAAATTAGGGATCTAAGGTTTCAATCTCACCGTCAATTACCACTTTCCCTCTATTTTGATTTGCTTCTGCTTGTTTCAATTCTTTCCAACCTTACTTGATTTCTTTCCATCTTTTTTTATTAAAGTTTAGGGTGATTTGGGCCATAGAGATGTCATCTTCAACCTCATTCCAATTTGTTTCTTCTCCATCATCAATTGAAGAATGGGGAAGCAGGGGCAACTGGGTCACCATCTTCGAATCTCTAGGAAGTATTTGTTTACTCTGTTTTGGCTTTTTCGAGAGGATGGAAGCGGTTGGCAGTGGGGATAAGTGATTAGGGATTGAATTGGAGCCATTTTTGTGGTCTTCTTTTGGCTCATTTGTGGATACTCCTCTAAAGCAACGAGGATGTGGTGTGGTGGAGCTGGTGTAGCTCGTATTCTCCTCATCCAACTAATATGCCTCATCTTCTTACTCTTCAAATGCAATCCTCTGCCCCTTATGTTCTCCTCCTTGATAGGTAGATCGAGTCAAAGAGAACAATTGCAATTTTTGTCTAGAATGGATACTTGGTTCATGAATTTCCTACTATGGCAGCGATGCCATCCTATTGCTTCCAAGTTGAAATCTTTTGGAAATGGAGCAGTTGTCAACCAATTCAAAACCTTTAAGTACATACTCAGCGCCATCTGGTGGATAGATAACATCGTGTTCCTCTAAATCATTCCACACATAACCATTTTTGTAACTCTTGAAATTCAAAAAACAAAAATGTGTTAGGCAAGAACAGAAACAAAAACAAGAGAAGAAAGAACATAAGACATGTATAAACGTATACCTTTTGCAAGACCAAGAATACAAAGAAGGCATTCCTTTACCTTTAAGAGCTGAGTCTTTCCATTACATCTAGGAATCATGAACCCAAAAAACAAGGACAATAAAAGATGAAAATTTTGAACTATTTGTGAAATTACAAACTAAAAGAGAAAGTACACAAAAGAGGCAAATGACTCTGAGGCGAAGTGGGTGATCAACAAATAATACGCTCTATTTGTCCTTTGCCGTCTTCACTTCTCTGTCCTTTGCTTCTTAATATATCAATTAAATCCATGATTTATCCCTTGTGAATTGAATGAAGATTGAGCAGTAAACCCAAGTAGAGCAAATTGGTCTACATCAACACCCAATCAACTCTTAGTCAGCGACAGCTCATTAGGCATTAACAGGCAATTGATGGGTCTAACGGCTGGATGATGTCATTCTCACTAAAAGGGCTATTTGCCAAATATCATGAAGTAGAGGGGCTGATTTGCCATAATTTCTAGTATAAGGGTTGATCTACCACAACATTGTAGGTACAGGGACTGAATTGCACCTTTTGCCTTAATGAAGAGGACTTGATGCTTTAAAATTTTTTTGTCTAGACCATGTTCTCTAGGGTTAGTTTAATTTTATATTAGTTTTTTTAGGGTTTTTTTTTTAAGAAAAAGGGAAGATATAACTTTGTATCTAATCAAATTAATACGTTTGCCAAATTAAATATATCCTTAATTTATATAATTTCTTATGAATATGGTTGATATTTAATTGTCAATATTCTCTATCCTTCAAATTGAGTAAGGGATTTAAATTCAAGTTGTAAACACGCAGATGGGATAGGTAAAAATGTGAGAAAACATTATATCTTAATATGTAATTTAAAATAAAAAAATGATATTTAATTAAAATATAATATAAATTGTACTTGTATTGACCATAAAAAAAGGAGCTTTAAGTAAGCCTTTATATTAGAGGTCTCAATTGAAATTTGAAAATGAGGTGGGGAAGAGTTTTGAGGTGGGGGTGAGTTTTATAGTAGAAAAGCCTTTTTCTATAGTGATATGGTGCATCATTAGATAAGTTAAAAATATTTGTTAAAAAAAAGAAAAAAAAAAACTGAAAGCCTCGAAAATTTTGATTAATCAATTACTTGAAATATCTAACTCACTTAAAAATTAAACCCTTGCAATTTAATATTATGAATTTACTTTTCAGTATGTGAATTCAAGTGGTTGAGTTTAATGTACTATAAGCTAAATGAACTCTTGCAAGTTGAAAGATTAATTTTTTAAAAACTTTAGTTTAAGGATAATGAATAGAAAATAAGATAATTTTATCCAATTAAATTTAAATATTAACCCACCACTTTAATTTGATTAGAGGAAATAATATCTCCTCCCTTTCCATCACTCAAAGTACCAGAAGCATATGCTCCTTTGTTCCTTAACACCTTGCCATTCATACCATTTTCATCTTCTTGAGTTTGCATCACCATGTCTTAATCAATTACATACATTGTGAACAAAAAAAAATTATTATGCTGCAAATTGAGTTCCAGGCAAACAGATTGTACCAAAAAGGATACTAATCAGATTATAATTTCTATATATATACCCAAAAACTTTCCCCATTTTCCACTTCAAAGAAATACTATTGCTTCATCCAACATAAGATGATTCTCAACTTCCCCTTGACTTCACTCTCTCTAAAATTGTGGTTTACAAATCAAAGCAAAATGAGCTAAGAAAACAACCCCAAAACAAAATAAAACAAAAATAATGAAGATTAATTAAGAGAGTACAAAACAAGCATAGTTCTTTCTCATTTCTCACTGTGTCTAAACACCAGAATTCAAATAAAGAAAAAGGAAAATTCTCCACACAACATTATCCTTAATTCTCATCATTCTTCTAAGAATGAATTTGAGTGAAGAAGGCCTCTTGGGTAATTACATTTAGATGACTTTATATGGCTAGATCACACAACACAATAAAAGCATACAGAACAATCAAATCTTCGGCCCAAAATTGGGTTATATTAAAAGCAAAACAATGCATCTTAAACAAAAGAGAATAGAAAACGAAGTTTAAAGATGACAATCTTAGAAATTTCAAGTTCATATGCTATTGCGAATAAACAAGATCAAAGCAACCTATATCCCTTTGTTCAAGAAATCAAAAGAATATCAACCTCAACCATAATCAAAAGGACCATTAGGATCCAGTTGTTTACACCATTTGCATTTGCCCCAGTAGTAAAAACAGCCAATTAGTCGAATCTTTTTGCTCGGGAATCACTGCCTTCACGCTCTTTGCTTGTCTTCGGCTCTTCTATGCCAGTCAGCAGTCGCGACCCCGGACAATTGAGAGGCGATGGGAACGTGAATGAGTGCGGTGATTGTTGTGAAAATGACGACAGTGGTCGTGTTGGCCCATATTTAGGTGATTCTAGTGCATGCTTTGGTGGATATCGTGATAAATCGGGATAATGGATAGGGGTCGACAGCCAGCACATCACTGTTGGCCGTGATTCTAGTGAATTATTTAGTTGATATTGTGGTGAATCGGGACAATAGATAGGAGACGGCAGCGAGTACATCCCTGTTGCCTGGGATTCTAATGAATTATTTGGTTGATATTGTGGTGAATCGGAGCAACAGGTAGGAGACGGCGGCAAATACGAGTCTGGTGATTGTTGTGCAACTGGCCTGTACTTCGGTGATTCAAATGGGTACTGCGGTGGATATTTTGGTGAATCGGGACAGATAGGAGACATTGGTGAGTACGAATCCGGTGATTGTTGTGGCGTTGGCCAATATTTCGGTGATTCTGGGGAATACGACTCTCCTAATGAAATGGATGTCTGCCACGGCGATTGTCTCAGTTGTACTTTCGGAAATTCTGAACGATAAGGAAGTGACGGAGGATACGCTGGTGAATTTGGAGAATACGAATACTCCGGTAATTTTGGAGAATACGAATACTCCGGTGTTTTTGGATAATAATAATAGGAAGACTCAGGTGGCTGTGGAGAATACCAATATTCGGGTGATTTTGGAGAATACGAATTCTCCGGCGATGCTGGAGAATACGAATTCCATGGCGATTCTGGAGAATATGAAGACTCCGGTGATTTCAGAGAAGGCGTCATGCGCGGCGATTGTTGAGGAATATTTGGCAGCTGAGCGCAGTCTGGTGGTGGATACTTCGGTGGTTCTGGAGAATACAAACACTCCGTTGATTTTGGAAAATACGGAGGCGAGGACGACCGCCAATACGTCGTCATTGACTGTGGTGGTTGCGATTGTAGGTACTGTGATTCCCATAGCCACGGTGGAAGTGGTTGAAAGTTTGACGCAGGTGACTCCGGCTTCACTCTCTCCCCCGGACATTGTGGCGAATCCGGCGCACCATCCTTCCAAACCGAAGGACCTAATCGAATATCAGTGAAAGTCGTCTCCTCATCCTCATCAAATTGTCGCATTCTTTTACTGCTCCGCCCTCCTCCTTCCCCGGATTCCATGTCTCGGCCGTCGAAAAGGAGATGAAACGAACAAGGGCTTGAAGAATCGCGAAAAGCAGAACAAAAAAAAGGGGAATTTGAAATATATATACATAGATGAGTATTCAAATTTTGGAGTTAGATATTAACTCGGATTCGGTTTCTTCGCGCGTGGCTCGGGCAGTTGGTTTACGTGGCAGTGTTCGATTGGATCAACATTAAACCGTAAAGATTGAAATGAGGTGTGAAGTTTATGGGCTACACAAAATCTGGGCCGGGTTCCAAGCTGAGGCCCAATCTCGTAATTCCACATCTGCAACTGAGCGATAGCCCGCTCATTCTTTCATCTCCAACTTCTACTTTCCAGCTCCGATCAGTAGCTTTTCCGACTTTCCGGCGGAAACAGAAGGTAAAATCTAACATCTACTCTCAAATTCTTCGCATCTTGGCTCATTTGTATAGTTGATTTTCCTGGTTTAATTGCTTTGACCTAGGTTCTTGCCTCCTGAGGAAAAAGATAATCGCGCCATTTCCTTTCGTTCTTGTGTATACATTGTACGGAAATTGCTTCTGGTTTTGGTAGTTCTATATTGGAGTTGGTTCAGATGGACTGTTAATGGCTTAAATTAATTTTTATACATTTTGGAATATAATTTTCCCTCTTGGGGGAATTTTCTGTAATTCTGAAGCTTCCTAGTGAATTTTTTTACCAAAATTGAAGCATTTATATCTATTATGCCCTGTATATGCCTGGAAAATCTTCCCCTTTTTTCATTTATCTGTATTTTGTCCCTTATCTCATTTATCTTATGCAATTCTTTCTGTGTTTTGAACTTCAGTGTAATATTTGAGTGCTCGAGTGTGATGGACAATGTTGTAGAATCCCTGAATAACGGGTATCAAGAATTTGTAGCTGCAGCAGCTAATCTGCTTGAAACTAAAGTAATTGCAGGCGAGCACAAAACGGTAGCCACAGATGCTGCCCTGGAAGTCTTTACGCAGAAATGGGAATTGTTTAGAGTCGCTTGTGATCAAGCTGAGGAATTTGTTGAGTCTGTCAAGCAAAGCATAGGATTGGAGTGTCTTGTAGATGAGGCTACGGGTTCTGTTGCTTGGAAGCCAGAGCAGGCTTTTGCTGGCCTTCCCCCCATCAGTGCCGTTCGATTAGAACAAATGAGTAAAGCTGTCCGGTGGCTTGTGATTGAACTGCAGCATGGTAGTGGGGTTGCTGGTGGTCAAGGAAATATCGATCCTTGTGCTCCTTTTGATTCTAGGTTCACTGAGGATGCTGCCCAATAGGTACATGTGCTTGATTAGTTAAGATGTTATATGAGGCTGTTAGCTTGAATTTATGTGGCTATGCCATGAACTTGATCTCATGATTTTCATCAGATCATCCAGTCCAATTCCTCTTTCCTTGTGTTTGTTACTCTTAAAGAATTGTAGTTTTGGTAATACTTTGGCTTTAATAATCTTACTTTATGTCATATCAACGTAGTGATTGTTACTTTTCCTCATTAATTTCCTCATTTGATGCCTTAAGGAACTTCCTGTAGCTTTGGGGACACGGACAGATAATTTTTCATGTACTTTGGGTGTTTGACATTGACAGTCCTAGGTTGTGCACATGGGAGCATATCTATATGTTCACATTTTTATAATTCAATAATGTCTAGACATTTATATTCGACTCATGAGGCCTTCACTTTCTTGCAAAAAACTTTATTACCTACAATGTTTGAATCTAATTTGAATGTGTAGGATTCTTGGCAAGCTCATCCTCATAATATGTATATTATATTTATTTTAATTAATATTTTATATATTTTTAAAATAGTAAAAAGATATAAAAGCTAAAAACTAAAATATTAAGAAGTGTTATTAAACAAAATTTTAACAAGATTGTTTATAGGGTACATAACCCTAAGTCCAAACTAAATAACAAAAATAACAATAAGTTCCTCAAAACTTACAAAATACATTAAGCCTAAACTTGTGTTATATATATATATATATATATATAAGTAACTATATAAAACATGATTAGTAAATTAGTATTTGTTCGAGTATCGATTGAGAAATCAACCTAATGATTATGTGCTGCACTCCATTTTACTCCTCACACGGAGTATCGTGGCCACGTGGATTACATGAGAGAATGCAAACTTGTGTTATGTATTAGTTAAAACCTTCTAAGTTATACACTGAATGAGTATAGAACTATAGATTCAACAAAAGACTTTACTCTAGCTATGATAACTTGTGAATGTACTGGAGCACATCATTTATGGGTTGCTTTCTTTGCACTTCAAGCCAAATGGGATGCAGCTGGCGAGTAGAGCCTTCATTGCCCAAACATCTGTGGTAACTTAAAACTTTTTCATTAAACAACCAGCTCTTCTCCTTTTAAGGCATCAATGTTAGCTAACAACAGCTGATCAAAAAAAAAAAAAAAATGTTAGCTAACAACAATTGCAATTGGTATGCATTCATTTTATGTCATATAATTAGATAGAATGTCCATTAAGATTTTCTTTCTAAACTCCCAACCACAATGAGATATTATTTTTCATTAATCCAAAAATTTGGACATTAGTATTTACTGTTCATATCAAGCAAAAGTTTACTTATCCCATGAACATTGATAATTTCATGTTGTTGTCTTAAATGGTTGTGTTATTTCAATTTAGCTTACATGATACATTTATTTTAAGGAAATTTGATATTTAAGTGTTAATTTAAAGATTTAAATCATGTAAAAAAAATTTAAATCTTAAACCTAGACTTTTAGAGCAACAACACTTAACAACGAGGTTTAATCAGCCTTATTTCACATTTCACACGAGCAGAAGCTTCATACGCAACCTTTAACATGCATGTAGAGAGAGCAGAGAGAAGAATCCCAGATAATTGCGGCCTACGCCGCCTTTCAACCTTCCGTTACTTTGTGGTCCCTCTCCTGCCCAACAATATAGCTTCTCCTAACAGTCTAGCTTCTCTCGACCAATCTTTCAAAGCTGATGGTTTGTTCCAAGTGTTGGTATTTGAATTCAGTTGATTGACTCCTATGGATTACTTGAAAAACATCTACATTTTTCAATGATTTCTTATGTAAAAAAAAAAAAAAAAATCTAACTTCTCTGTTGAAATACGGATTTTTTAAGTAGTAGCTAGTCTTATAATATAAATTAAAAGTATATTAATTATATTTTTTCTAATATAATTTTATAAAAATAAATATTATTTTTAATAAATATATTTTGTAAGTAATTTTAATTAAATAATTAATAATTTATTTATTTTTATTTTTATTATAATTAATTATATTTTATCTTGATCTTTGTGTAAAAACTTTAATTTTTTTTAGGCCAAACTAAGTTAATTTTTTATCAACTTTTCCATATTCCTTTGTCAAAAGAAACTTCAACAAATGGGACCTTAAAGATAAAGTCTAATGTTATTATTTTCCTAAAATAAAACAGAAATAAAATTAAATGGACGAAAAAATGAAGAAACATGGTCAAATGCTAGTATTTGGCCTCGGTTATTCTTCCACGGCAAAATGTTGGGGGTCTAGTAGCAAAATGCTGAGGCCACACAAAATGTGAAGTTTTGTATCTGAAAATACTTTTTTATTGTAATTAAGTGATCATTTCCTTTCGTTAAAAATAAAAAATTTTGAATTCAAGTCTTATAGTATATCTGTAAGATGTGTGAGATGTGATAAGGAATGAGAGATGATTACCTCTCATTGTGCAATCAATTTTAAAAATTAAAAAAAAATGAAAATACTTTTTTGCCCATTTTTTCAATAAAACTAAACCCCGTCTGTTTTCAGACATTTTTTTCCTATTCAGCTGAACACTCCTTTTTCATCTTCCTCTTTTATTCATATGAAGTCAGTTTCGTATTCGCAAAAATTGACTGCTAACTTCATAAATTTTCTTAACACCAATGTATGGTATTTGGGTCAAAATTGAGCAAGCTTCTAAAGGGAAGTTTGAAAAGGGCAAAATGATCCCACAACTAAAAGTTTTGTATTTTTATGTGCTCCAACGTTCTGCCGAGTGGTGGCATTAATTAACCGGGGCTCTAGTGTTTTGAGATTTGAGCTTACGGCTTCTCAATAAATGTCCCAAATTCCACCATATCACTATCCGTGTATTATGGTATTTAAATTATATTAAATTGTGAAATTTAAATCTTTAAAAAAAAGATAAGTTTAAAATTATAAAACTCTCTCTAAATTAAAAAATAATATTGTATAGTTTAAATTATAAAATAATTTTTCTATTTTATCTAATCCTAACGTGAAGAATATAGATGTGTTTTTTTACTCCAATGTTAAGATTCATGAAATAACTACTTAACATTACACTAATATTATTTTTATCTTCAAAACACTAATAAATAAACGTAAAATAATATAATAAAAAAAGAGAGAAATCAACGATTTAAATAATTCAGTAGTAATCTTTTTTTGTTAAAAGTAAAAAATTCTAAATTTAAATCACATAATATATAAGTGAAATAAGATAAGATATTAAAAAGTTACATCTCATTGTATAATCAATATAATAAAAAAAAAACCTCATTTAAAGAGACTCCACCTGCCAGCGGAATCTATTTTTGGGTCTCATAAAAAGAAAAGAAAATAAAATAAAAACCTACTAATATTAGATATATCAAAATTTTTCATAACAACTCTAATCAAATAACACGTTCAAATTGAATTTTCATTGGTTTTGGTTGAGACACTAAAGTTAAACTATTATTATTAAATTTTTTTTAAAGATAAAAATGTCTTCCTATTACCTTTAATGTATCTTAAAATTAATTACTCCTAAAACAATATTATGGACACCCTCAAATTAATCTAATATATTGAAGAAATATTAAATTCTTTTTAGTCAACACCTAAACTCTAGCTTGAGCACTAAAACACTTCAAAATAAATGGTAATTCAAAAGAGAGAAAAAAAGAAAAAAAATCGAATTAATTATGTAACATATGACTTTTTTTCATGGAAACAAAAATTTATTAATATATGTGATTTAATTGATAAAACAATACTTTTTATAAAGTTTGGGTAAAATAATATATTATAATTTCTTTTTATATTAGTTATCCAATTAAAAAATAATTATCGTTCATCTTTTATCTTACTCTACTCACATCTTATATTACTTAAATTTCAATAAATGCTTATCCATTAAGCAGGGAGAATCCTATTGAAATAAAAAAGCAAAAGGATTATGCTTGCAAGGAACGGACTAATAGGCTCAGCTAGCAAATGAATCTTTATAATTAAATATCATTACCATATAAGATTGATTTAGTTGTCAAAGATCTATTACTGAAAAATTCATGGTTAGAGCCCAAAGGTGTGAAGACTTCTTATTTTTTTTGTTAAAAAAATCATTAAATTATTTAAATAATTAATGTAAATTTTTTTATGTTTATTATAAAACTCAAAGAGATTAGCGTTGAGATTACTTTGTTACAATGCTCGCAACTAAAAAAAATTGTATAACACGGCCCCCTAAAAAAAAAAAAATTAAGTACAACGCTCTGGGGTTGAGTATTCGCGGAATACATGCTGCCGCACTGCCGCAAGCCTACAAAGCGTGCCGTCGGGTTTCTCTTCCTTCTATCTTTGTCCCACGTACTTTATTCCTGCACTCAGCTCTCTTGTTCCCACATATTGATTTTTTTTTTTTTTTGAAAGGCAAGTTCCCACATATTGATTGTGTTCATAAAGTTTTCTTTCTTTTTTTTTTTCTTTTTTTTTTTCTTTTTTGGGGTTCTCTCGAATTACCCTCTTCACCTTTCTGTCATCAGTGATTTTCCAGACCCTGTTTCAAGAGGGTTTTCTTTATCAATTCCCCTTTTGGCTCCAAGCTGCTGCCTTTCCAATCCAATAAAGCAATACCCAGTTCCTTGGATTGATTCTAAAGGTCTAGTTTCAACTTCAACCCGTTTCTTTCATGCCGTCTATCCTTTATGTTCAAAACTAAATGGGGTTTATCTATTACGTATCTTTCACAGGATGGATTTCAAAGAGGAAGTTCAATTGTTGTATGGTTGGATGGCTCAGGTACGTGGGTTTTATTTTCTACATGCATTTTGGTGATGGGCATCTTCTCTTTTCCCTTTCCCCTTTCCCCTTTCCCCTTTTTTTGTTTGAGGGAATATATCGACTTTAAGTACTATTTTAGCAAAGTTTGTCCCTTCTTTTTATTTTTATTATTTTTTTCTTTTTTATAGAGAACCAAATGATATAATTTGAATCAGCTGTGTTGGTTTCCAAGGATTTACTTTCAGGGAAGGGAGTTTTCCTGCTAGATCATAATTTCTCTTCGGTGAAATGGTGGTCTAGGGTAGTTCTCTATGAATTTGCTTTGCAGTCAGAGAACATGGGTTAATATTGAGAGAGAAAGGAGCAAAGTTGGTGTTCTATTGTGCGGTTGGAGTATTGCAAAGCCCCTTAGCTTTTTAGTCATTGATGTTTTTATAATTGTCTGGTGTAAATGAATTGCAATTGAATCTTTATAGTTTTAATAAATCTTATTCTGCAGTAGTAGATCCTGGTGCCAATACGTTTATGCCATTTATTTTCCTACACTTAAATTAGAAGTTCATTTTGGGTTAACGGCTTGTGCAGGTTGGAAACCTTGTAGATCAGCTACTGTGGCATCTTCTACATGTTATGGTCAGCTTGTGGTACTTTGTACAGGGTGTGTCCGATTTGCTTGAAAGCTATTTTATCTCTAAAGGAGTACTGAAGAGATACAAATCCCTTCATATAGGCAGGCTCCGGTATCTAGCCATTGTGATAGAAAGTGAAGATGCTCACCAAACTTCCAAAATTATTGAGCTTCTGGAATGGCTAATAGCTATTGGTGTAAAACATGTGTGCTTATATGATGCAGAAGGTAAAGATTTCCTGGTTGTCACTGTTGCTCAGCAGGCATGTAAGATGTCCTTGTTGTTCTTGTCATATACTTAGCATCCTTTTTTCATTTTCATTCAGGAATTCTGAAGAAATCAAAGGAGTCCATCTTGGCGAAGTTGGATTGTGCAACTTTATTGGAGGTACTGTCTGGTATTGCCAAAATACTCTGTATCATGCTTGGTCACGGATAGGTGTATAGCTGATGTTTGGTCAGAACCAAACTACTATAATATATGGCCATCTCTTTTTCATTTATAGAATTTTCTATCAGAATGTTAGTTTAATAAATTCATTCAGTTAAGTTTGAGTTAGTACAAGTTTCTCTTTTTTCCCTTATTTTTCAGAAATTATGTTAGAAAGCTGTTGCACATGTTTGTTATTAGCCCTATGTAATTCATGATATAATGATTTTGGAGAGATCATCTACAAAGGACAGTGCATACCACTGGAATGCCAGAAATAATGCTTGACAACTCATACAATGTTGGATCTATTTTCCATAGGAATCTCATGAAGATGATGTCCTACTCAACCAAAAGGATTTTACTTTGGAGTTTGCATCATTCACTGATGGAAAGGAAGCAGTGGCAAAAGCAGCCAATGTACTTTTTATGAAGTACTTAAAATTGAGTGCCTCTGGCAGAACTCAGGAAGATCAAATTTTTACAGAACCTAACATGACTGACGCCCTAAAAGCTGTCGGTTTGTTACTTGTCTGATCTTGATGGTTGACTCGATCCATTTCCTTTACAGTTCCAATCCTTAACTTTTGGGTGTTCGTGTGCTTGTTCTATCAGGTTGTATAGGGCTGGAACCTGATCTTTTATTAGTTTATGGACCTGCCAGGTGCCACTTAGGGTTCCCTGCATGGAGGATACGTTATACTGAGATTGTGTAAGTGGTTACTCTTATTCAGTTGTCATGCAATTATAAGTAAAGACCAGAAGCAAAGCAAAATTCTTTTACATTTGTTATTTGTTAAAAATGTTGATAATGTCCTGTTTGATGAAAGGCTTACAGTAGCTCTAGATGACATCTTCTGGTAAAATATTCATTTTCTTTCTTTATGTAAGATGATGTACAATCATTATCAAAGCTTGCATGTTTCATCAGTTCTGTCTAAAATGAAGATTAAAACATAGTTGGAGCTGTCTTGGTTGGTCACCTATAATTGGTTATGAATTCAAGGGGAAAGCAAACATTTAGCAATACCTGAAGCTGTATTCGAATTTGATTTGGAAAATTTCTTTGAAGAAATTTGCAAGTCTTTTCTATTTCTTTAGTTAGTAAGCTTGCAGAACATGATGACCTTCTTGAGGGTCTTCACTGCAGATTACCTGCTAGGCTGCTAATGAATGGAAACTGAAGTCCTTGTTCTTATTTGAGTGGCCCATGTATTTCCTTTGTCCTTTTTTGTAAGGTTTTAAGGAGTTGAAACGACCAACAGCACGACAAACACATAGCTTCTACAATTTTGATTGCTTCATTAACTTTACATTTCTTTAGTACCTATTGAGACCACAGTGATTGCGGAAGTTTCCCCCTTCTTCTTGTAGAATATTGTTTTCTTGGTTGTTATTCTAAACCATAGTTATTTTCATGTTACAGACATATGGGACCACTTGAGTCCATGAGATATGGATCCCTAAAAAAGGCCATTCACAAATTCACTATGGTCCACCAAAACTATGGTCAGTGGTTTGCCCTTAAAACTGTTTTGAAATCGCTAATATTCCTGCTAATTGTTTGGTAGGTGATGGTAAAACAAATTTCATAACCTTATTGTTTCCTTGACAGGTAAATGAGGCGCAGCATTGAGGGATAAGTTGATTGTAGCAGCATGTAATAAACATAAGCTTTTCTGATCTAAACCAGTTAAGTTGGAATCTATGCTTTTTCCCAGGGCTGATAGCCTTCTAAACATCTGCCTATTTGTGGTTATTAGCATTCTTTTCTAAAGTTTATTTCTTTCCTTTTTGCCAGTCAACAGGTAGATTTCTACCCAATCAATGAAATGTTGAATTTGCTATGTATCAATGAAATGCTTCTTCTTCTTCTTCTTCTTCTTCTTTTTGTTTCTCTCCGGTTCGGACTGTGAAAGCATTTAAATACCTTTAGTGAATAAGATTCATTAAGGGTGTTTTGATACTTTCGTAGCCTAGATTGCCCAAAAAATATGCAGTCTAGACTAAAAAACACCACTCGCATTATTGAAACTCTAAATGCCTAGGAATGAGTCTGGTCCAGAATTTAGGCATATTTTCTTTGGCCATGCGTGATAGCCTGGAAAAATTCTACAGTGTAACATCCCAGTCAATAGACAACTAACACATGAGGAGTTTCTTGTGTCCCATCAAAGCCGGAGGTTTTGTTTCCCATGACAAGAAAATCTGCCTGCATGATATGTCATGAAAATTCATTAACATTAGTTGTGAAACACCAAGATAAACCCTGGAAAACTGCAATCTGGGAAAGGCCTCAACTCTTGGTTTTCTGAAAAACAACAATAACAATTTCCTTACAGTGAATAGGAAAAGAAAGAGTGATCCTGGTTAGCAACTTGATAGGAAAATACAAACTTGATGAGACCAAGTAATAAGCCTATAGTGGCTAAAGGCTCTTCTCCCATTTGATTGTGGACGTGGTGTGGGATGTTTTTTCCCCTTAAAAATTTTCAAAGACCACTGTTCTCAAAGACATTACAATCTAATGGTGGGTAATAATCTCATCACTAGATACAATTTGGGATTCTTGTCTTGGAAAATGATATGGTAATTCCATTTCCCCACCAAAATCTCCGGTAACCTTGAGATATGACCTGCATCAAATACAAGCCTTTGACAAAGATTGCAAGTCATTACAAAAGACACCTCTGATAGCACATTGGGAACATTGCAGCGTAGGACTCTGGAAGAATCCAAGGAACTTGCAAATCCAATCCATGTTAGAATTCTGTTTCCAGGATGCCATCAATGAGTCCAAACTCCATGGCCTGTAATAGAACAGAACAAAGGAAGATAGCATGATAAATGGATCTTTCGATAGCATGATAAATAGATCTCTCTTTTTTCCTGATTTATTTATTTTGTAGATTTTCATTTTGTTGGGAGGGAGAGGAGGAACTGGTGAGATGGATGCTCTTGTGGAGGGACTGTTGGTTCGTTTAAAGGTTGCTGGTCCATGTATTAGAAGGTAGTGTTGGCTTTGGCTGTTTGAGAAGATGGTCTACTAACCAAGGCTAAAGGATTCAGATATGTAGGCATGGTGGATTCTAAGCAAGTGTTTCAGTGTCTTGAGATAACTATGCATAAAAAATGGGAGATTGCTTCTGAAGTGAGTCATTTGCAGGCTTGGTTAGAGTTTTCTTAGTTAGAACTTTAACTTGGTCAAAAGATCTGCCAACAAAAAAGTCAGCTGGGTTGCCACCATTCACCAACGGGGTTGGGGCAGGCAGGAAATCATCACCCAGAGTAAAGGCTGGTTGCCATTACTTTATATTTAATGAACCAAGACTAATCAACATTACCTCAGCAACAGATAGGTAATGGTCCCTCTCAGTGTACAGCTGCACTTTCTCAAAAGGTTGACCAGTAAAAGCTGCATACATTTTGTCAATTTTCTGCAACAAGGCAGCAAGGAAAGAAGACTGTAAATTAAGGCTAACATTGAACAGAGAACTAAAGAGGCAGTAACGGTGAATTAAGCTTGAATTTGTAAAAGATAATGACATCTTGTAGAATCAATTGATCGAGGTAGTCTTTAGTTCACTTCAAATCAAGAAATACCAAAAGACAAAGGAGAAATTACATGGCGAGATCGAACTGCTTCATCCACTTGGCATCTCACATCCTCCGAATGACCCTAAGAACACATTATAATGCATGAGTCAATTGCTTTAACAAGTGAATCACGTAGTTCATGAACTCAATGGTTTATGTTTTCTATCATTGACCTCATGAACATAGAATCCCCTAGTTTCAGCCACAAGAGCTTCACAACTAATCATGAACCTCTATGCCAAAAGGGATAAAGTAAACATACTTAATGGTAAACATTATTGTTTCAAAAGCAAACTTTTACATTTGACATTGGAACCTCCTTTCTTAACTACAAAAGCTGTGTGTGTGTGCACGCAGGTGCATGCAAGGGAGAGAGAATTTTTTTATCAGTTATCACTAATAGTAGATAAATGTCTGAGGGTTTAAGTCAGAATTTTTCTAGAATAAGAAACTTCACTTGCCTCTTGTGAAAGCACAAGTGTCCTTATTCTCCTTGGAGAGAATTCCCAAGTAACAAAACTAAATAAAGTTGAATCATACCCCACACCCAGTCTGTGGTTGATATATCATAAGTTGTGCATTTGGCATTGCATACCACATTCCCTTCTCTCTGCCAGCAAGAAGAAGTGCTCCACGGCTTGCAGCTACTCCAAAACAAACTGTGCCAACCTTTGGCTTGATCTGAGACATTAATGAATCATAAAATGCTTGCAGAATTTGAAATTAGAAGAAAATATCAATGATTGAATTCTACAATGGGTGATAAAAGAAACAGCACATGAATGGATTTAAATTGCAAAGCACATAACCAGCTCAAAAAAGTATCAATTACATGTTTTAATTAAACTCCATTTAAGATACCTGAACAAAAAAAGTTAGTCTGGAAAAGAAAGACCAATTTCCATATCTGACCACAAGACTAGATCATAGGATTGTCACCATTTCTTCAAATGTTCTTGTAACTCGTAATATTCTACATTAATGATACAGCTTCTAATCTTGTCAGTTTTAACAAACCCAAAAAGACAATCCCATCACATTAGAAGGGACAAGGATCTATTCACCATATGGTTCATGTTTCCAGGATCAGTTGCCAGAACATTTTTCAAACTTAAACAGAAGCTCATGGTTATGATTGAATCCTAAGCATAGAGAAAAGCTTGCAGTTTAAGCAAAACACACCATACAACTTTCAACAAACAAGTTACTAGTGTGTTATGCTATACAATTTAGATTTGGAAAAAAAAAAAGGGATAAAAAATGCATTTTAAAATGTTCTAAATCTTACCAAGACATGCAATCATAAATTGCCAACACAGAATAAAGGCTTCCACCAGGACAGTTTGAATACACCTGACAACAATAGGCCAGACTTATAAAATTGATAAAGCAGGCTCTAAAGCTCTAGGAACATCTACGTTTAGCCCCCATAGAGATGTTCAGCCCCCAAGCCAAATGGAAGAATAAGTGTGGAAATAGTATAATAAAAAATAAAACCACACCAGGATATCTGCATCCTCATCAATAGCTGTAAGAGTCATCAGCTGTGATATAACTCTCTGAGCAACCAGTGAAGTTACTGGCTGCCCAGTCAAGATTATGCGATATCTCAGTAGTACAATTGAGAGGTCCAAAGGTCCTCCTGGAATCATCACTGCTGGCATCATGGGTGGGTTCCCCTTTTGGCTTCAATAGCACCATAGCTGGAATTAAAATAATGTATCACTACAATAGATGTTCTTGACTTAAGGATAAGATTAAGGGACACATTACACCTCCATACTTAACAACCATTAACGAAACATAACAGAGTATAGCATTTTCATCTAATACCATAAAAATCAATGGTAAACAATAATAGAAGTAACATATTTATTTGCAGTAGTTTCTCATCAGTTGTTGGCATTCACCACTAATAGTCACATGGAAATCAATTTATATCAGTTGAACAAAATTAATAAACGGAGTTTTTTTTTTTTTTTACCAAAATTGACAATCAGAAATTTTAGAATAAAATAACTATTAAATCAACTGATTAAAAAATTGCAGAAAAGAAAATAAAATTCAAGCAAACTGATGAATTTCAGGAACCTTAGATTAGAATCAAGTGAATCATTCTTGACAATCTTTCGAGGTAACTCCACATCTTTAATAGATAGTCCTGGCAGAAGCAAAAATATCACGTATAATTATTAGGTAACAACTTTACATGAACAAAATGCAGACGTTCAAGCAAAATTACACAGGTGGAAAAAATGTTTTGCCCAACGAGCATAAGGGAACAGAAACATTCAATACAGACAATCATCACAAGGTAATGTGGTAATGCACTTAATTACAAGTTAATTAACTCAATGGACCTATAAAAAAACAATAAATTGAACTTAAAAAAAAATGAAATGGGTCAAAGCCAAAACCGATAAAGATACGAACTTTAAGCATCAATGTACGTAATTACAAGCAGGAAATCTGCAGAATTTGCAGAACTGGAAAATTAACCAGTTGTTGAAGAATCTGCATGCTGACTCGGAAATGCTGAAACTATCGTCCTCTCAGGGTTCTGCAAAAAAAAGAAAAAAGGAGTTATGGGGGCGTAAGGAACTGATTATATGGAATGAAACAGATGTGGGTATGAGTGTCTGGTGCGAACCTTCGGAAGAGATGGTTCTGGTTGGAAGAGAAAGAGATAAATTGGAAGAAGGTGAGATGGCTGATGCTACCATGTCTGTCTGTAGGTTTGCTTCTGCGAGGAAGGGAAGCTGACTTTCAGTTCAGACTTCAGAGGGAGAACGGAGAACGGAGATGGCAGAAGCGGCCTACTCAGTAACGAGGGAGGAACGTAATATCCAGAATGTGCAAGGCCCAACCTATTGTAACCCATTTAAATTGGCCCAATTTAAGTCCAAATAAATTTTACCCCCTCTATTCAACTTTATTTATGACAATTATATTTTAATAATTTAATTTTAAATTAAAATTTAATATAATATATAAATAATAATTTAATTTTTTAGATAAACTGAAACTATTTGACAATAAGTAGGTATAGGAAAATAAAAATTTTGAATTGTAAAATTAGTGTTCGAAAAGCTAAAAATATCAAAACTATATAAAAAGATTGTGTCCCAATTATTTTTAAAATATATATAATTTTTTTTTTGGTTTAAATATCAAAAATTTGAAATCGTTTGCTTGTTGCAAACTTCCAAAGGATAATCGACATTATTAACAAATTAATTGGTTTATTTCAAATATCATGCTGTCGTTGATTTTTCAAAATTGCTGTCACAAATCTCTAAATATGGTGTGAAAAAGTGTTTATTACTATAAGTATACAAAGAAGAAACGAAGTAAAAGACCAGTTTCTCACACAACTAGCGCCCAATGCTATCTACATTTTAGTTTTACAAGCAATATCTTAATTTAAATCCAATTTTCTCAAAAAGTTTTCCTAGTTAAGTTTTTAGTTCTACGCTACCGTTAGTTTTAACTCTAGTTTTTGTTATTTCGTTGTAAACATCTTCACTTGATGTATTTAGGTTTTTGCAATTCAATTTATTGCACTTTTGCCCAAAATTCATCTTTCTAGTTTCTTTTAAATTTAGTTTTATGCTTCAGTTTTTATTTTGTTTTTTATGTTTTCATGCTTTCGCGGTGACATCACGCTTCATTTTTGCAATTTAGTTTTTTTGCCATATACTCTCTTTTTTCTCTTTTCCTTTATTTTTCTCTTTTATTTCAATCAGCAAACTAATATTTTGGCCCTAGTTGTGGAATGTCCCTAATATTCTTCCAAGACAATTATTTATAGAGTTTTATGCAGGAATGCACCCCCGTTTTTGCACAATCATCTTATCAAGATGCATCTATGCACCCCCGTTTTTGCACAATCATCTTATCAAGATGCATCTCATAATTTATTTAACCAATACTCTTCCATCGACTTGCAACTGAATTCCATGCTTGAAAGTAGTGAGGGTTATCGAGAATTCTTCTTTTTTACTTTAAGCAAAATAAGTGGTACACTTTTGTAGTCTTATCTGCTACGTAGCCAAAAAAAGAGATTTTGGAGATAACAATTATATTTTTAATTTTTAATTTTATATATAAAATTAAATTAAATATTATAAACTAATTATTATTTAGTAATTTTCTTTTTAA